CTAATGTATGTATTTAAAAGTTAATGTTGCTATGGTGATAACCATACATACTATGATGGAACATAATGTATCAATTTTTTTTGTTCTTTCTAAAACTATTGTATGTATTTAAAACTTAATGTTGTTATGGTGATAACAATGCCACGATGGAAAACATTGGGTACGTTCAGCAGGTGTCAACAGTTGAATTAAATCAGTCAGCTAGTTGTATGAGCTTTAATACAGCGGAACGAAATCGGCTGAACAAGCAATTGAGAATTAGCAGTTCAGCATAACCTAAAACTATGGCCAACAATAATATTTTTGAAAATTTTGTGTTATTACAAGAGATAATGGATGATGATGTTGATTTTAAGGCTCATTTCATTTTATACAGTTCTGCCAGTTTTCAAAATTAAAGGGGAGAAACAAAAAATATTAATCCTAACCTAGAATTTCACAACCGCTGACAAACTAAGCGCAGATTATTTACGCTGAGATATTTACTAAACTGCTAATACAGCAACTCAACAGTTGACACCGGCTGAACGTGCCCATTGTTTCCAATTGTTGCCAAAGTTTATAGTAGTATTTATAAATTCACTAACAACTCTGGCATTATGTGCTGGTGCTCTGTCATATTGAAAATATATCATTTAAGACTTATTTAATGGCAAATTGTCGACCAAAGGCACAATTTAAGTTTAAGTTTAAATTTTTATGGTAGATACTATATGCCAACATTCTATTATTTAAAAGGGCACACCATACATTGAACCCCAACCTTCTTTGAACACTCAGAGACTTCATTGGTCCAGATGACATTTTGAACAAACTGCAGATTATTTAATTTTTCTAAATATCATCTACAAAATTCTAATCTTAGATTGACATCTCCGGCACGTAAATAATGAGTTAGCCTCGCTTTGTATGGTTTACATATTTTTCTTTCATATTCGGGAGCAGCGGTTTTTGGGTCAGACGTCTTGTTCAATTTCCCTGCAAGATGTTGATGGATTTATCGCAAGTGAAGCCAACATATTGACTTCATCCTCTTGCAGATCATTTTGTTATGTTTTTGCACGTGGTTTGGAGAAGGACCAAAAATCTATTAAATTTTCTGCTAACCGGCTGAAGGTTCTTACGTGCGGTTGTCTTCTTTCCGGATACCTTGTGAAATATAATTCCACGGCTAACGTCGCATTCTTATCTGATAACATATAGCATTCCATCATGTTACATTTTCATAATTTTCGAAGTTCGTTGTAAAGTTTTATTCAGTTTTGTTATACTTTGACACTTAACATGCTGGTGCATCGTACCAACTCATAATGCCAGAGTTGTTATTAAATTTTTAAATACAAACTTTGGCAATTATTTGATACATTATGTTCCATCATAGTATGTATGGTTATCACCATAGCAACATTAACTTTTAAATACTTTATTAATTATTCAATAACTATAAGAAATATACCCTACAAACTATATATATATATATTCGGAGATAGCCTATGCAGACATCGAAATTGGGACACCCTGTACTTGTCACCAGTCCTTAGGTGACAATGAAAACATGAAACGCTAGTTGGGTTGCGTTCGGTTGAGTTGGTATGGGTTTGGATGGAGTTAGGTTAAGTTGGGTTGAGTTAGAATAGTTTAAGTTAATTTGACTTGGGTTGCGTTAGGTTCAGTTATGTTTCTCTCATGAGCTTAGGATGATTCTGGGTACGGGTATAGCAAGCCCAATATACCTGAGCTGGAGGAACATACCTTTCTAAAATGCTAGGGCCTGTCTGGTCCGGAGGTATTTGTAGTTTTGTCAGAATTAGCACGACACCGGAAGACTTTCTGTGAAATAATCGCTGGAGAGCTACAAAAATGTTTCATTGACAGACTTGGCTGAGTAGCACTCTCATTAGCTGTTCTTCGTCATAAACAACCACGCAAAGAAAGGAAGAAAATGATAGCGATCTGAACCAAACAGTGGTCAATATAGTTAGGATCTTTCGAAATCAGAAAGCTAGAAGACTGAACCCCTTATAAGAATGAGGAGTTGTTCTTTTGATAACATGAGAGGTAATCCTTCACAAGATAGCGAAGTTCCATGAAAAAGGAAGTCGAGAATAGAAAGAGAATGGGAGGAAAACAAACTAAGCAGAAGAAGTAGGAAGAAATAAATAGCAGAAAGAAAGAGGTTAGACGAAAAAGTGTAAATATGATGAGAGATGCAACATAACTGGCTGCAAAATCTATTGAAATCTCTGTTTTTTGCAGAAACTAACCCAATTAACATTTAGTTATAAAGAAGAATTAGAAATTAGACGTTGATGTACTGAAAATATTTATAAAAAAAAATTTATAAACCACATTTTAGTATTAATTAAAAAAAGATTTTTTAGGAAGATTACCGATTCAACGAGCGTAGGTTGCTGCAGCTTAACTTTACCTCCAAAGTTCGTTTGAACTTTATATGAAGGAAAGCTTCGCCGACGCGTAACGAACGTGGAGCGAAAATCTAATAACAAGTTAAAATTTAGTATTCTCGGGAACGCGTCGACGGTTTGAAATACGACGCGAGTTTTATTAAATTATGACTACGCCTTGTTCCTTTTTTCTTTTTTAATCTCAACGCGGTTGTTTTGAGTTAAACTAAAGTCAATTTAATTTCCTTTTATAATAACGATTAGATAATAAATCTATCTGTTAATCTAAAAAAAAACATTCCTTAATAATTCCACATTAATGACGCAGTACATAAATGTGTTTCAGAGAATTATTATGATTAATTAAAGAATTTAAAAAATTTTGATTGTTTTAGATGTGACCAAATATTGAAACTAATGGAAGAGGAAGGAGAAAAAGGACTTGAAGAAGGATATCTCCTGATAAGGGTTCACGTACCCGAATTAAACGTGCAAAAATGCCTCCAGTTTCCTCGGGATCAACTCGTATGGGACGTGAAACAGCAATGTCTCGCTGCTTTGCCGAAGGTAAGTTTGAGTTTCGTGCTTTTGAAACATCACCATTCCAATTTATATAAAAACCGCCAACCATAATAAAAAAATAGAAAACAAAAAGCTCAACATATCGTGAATTATGAAACCGCGATCTCGCTGCACGTTTGATCTCCTCGTGCAGTTGGCACGCTCGCCTTTGTGTCCTGTACAAGAACCCCACCCTGCTCCTTGAAATATATGGCCGGAACAAGTTGGAAAAGGCCCACGCCCCGTTGTATCCAAAGACCAGCAACGGCAACACCTTCGGGGCACCTAGAGTTTCATACAAGAGAGTTACGTATCAACCAGGGCTTTAGATCATCATTTTTTATCTCTTTTTTACTTTTCAACAACAGCCACAATCTAAAAGTGGGTGTAAACATATTGCAGATATTTAAAAATAATAATAAATATATTAACGGCTTTTTCTTTTAGTTTTAGATTAATGTGTTATTATATTTGTTTTCATCGTGTAAATACACCTTGTAATTTTTTTATTAATTGCATTAAGACTTTTTTTTGGGCAACAAAAACGAGTTCAAAGTTCTCTAAAAAAAAATGTTACCCGACGACGACCAAGTTGCTAACCTCAGTAAGCGACTTGGCATTATTTGTTGTTTGCTTTGTTAAAAACTCGCTGACAATGGCGTACGGTCAGCGAATGACTCGTTGTTTGCGTCTACAATGGACATGGATACTTTTTTTTTGTGCCGAAGACAGCTTTACGTAACTCGATCGGCTTGTTTATTAGCAGATTTTCAAACGTAATTAGAATTTTAAAAAAATAGCCGAATCATGAAACCCAATTAAAAAAAAATTTAATTATTGCAATTAATAAAATATTACTAAAAAAAAATTAAATCACCATCGTTCATTTATTTATTTTACGTTATTAATAGCCTCTTTTGTTAATATTGTGTTGCTTTTTTTTTAACTTCAGGTTGCTACTTGGTACAGGGTATGTATTCGTAATATGTATTCGTAAATATGGCGTTTTGTTATATTCTAATTGTAAAAACCCTGTATGTAGATGTAGATTACACTGTTCAACTCGACATATTACGTTTTGTTTTGGATGTAATTGTTTTTGGGAAATTAATCGCTAAAAGATCGGTCAAACTCACAAAGTCAAAGAGAATCGTTTATTATAAACACAATAAAATTTGCTACTTCTATTTTACCTTGGTTAAACTTAGTCTCTTGTAGGAGGGTAAAAAAATTCTACATCTTCAATCTTGCAACTTCTTCTCTAGTTCTGCAATTTAATAACTCGTCTTATAAATCCCATTCAGCTTCTATTTTATTGTTATACAGGGCGATTCACATAAGAACCGACACAGAGCAGGGACATGTAGAGGACAATAAATTAAGATGATTTAACGCAACTTATCTCTATACCAAGTTGTACCCCTGAGGAGTTATAGGCCTTCAAAGTTGGGTCTTAAATTTTTAAAACATTGAATATCTTCGTAATACATTAAGCTAGAAAAACCAAATTTGGTATACGTTATGAGTGTACCGAGGGTATTAATTGGTAGCAAGTTGAGACCAATTGAGGCATTTCAAAGGGTTGATTAAGGGTGATGGTTCCCTAAATTTTGGCAGATTTTTTTAACCTTTTTGTGGATTTAATACATTATTACCTCATTTCATGTGGAATTTAATTCTAAAACTTTTTTTACTCTTACTATTTTTTCAAAAACATTGTCGTTTTCATAAAAAACTCAAAAAACTAAAGACGCGTATCTTGTTAATGCTACTTAAAATCATCGAAAATTCAGTAGTCGGCTGTGAAATTGTACGTAATTTGAGGAATAAACTGTTTATTATGAACTAAAAAGACATCATCCATAAACAAATTTAGTTTAGGCATAATAATTTTCTAGTGATAAAGAGAAAATCCCCAAAATGTCAAAATTAAGTACTTTTGGTTTTAAAATCGATCATAACTCAAGAATGAAAGGTGATGACGAAAAGTTTTTTAGGAATAAATTGTTTATTATGAACTAAAAAGATATTATTGATAAACAGATTTTGTTTAGATGTAATGATTTTCTAGTGATAAAGAGAAAATCCCCATAATGTCAAAATTGAGTACTTTTGTTATCAAAATCGATCATTACTCAAAAATTAATTGTGATGGAGATAAGTTTTTTTGAAATAAATTGTTTATTATGAACTAAAAAGACATCATCCATAAACAGATTTGGTTTAGTTATAATGATTTTCTAGTGATAAAGAAAAAATCACCAAAATGTCAAAATTTAGTACTTTTGGTATTAAAATAGATCATAACTCAAAAATTAAACGTGATGGAGAAAAATTTATTTGAAATAAATTGTTTATTATAAACTAAAAGGACATTACTCATAAACAGATTGGGTTTAGTTATAATGATTTTCTAATGATAAAGAGAAAATCACCGAAATATCAAAATTGTGTACTTTTGGTCTTATAATTGATCATAACTCAAGGATGAAAGGTGATGGAGAAAAGTTTTTTAGGAATAAATTGTTTATTGTCAACTAAGAAGACATCATCCATAAACAAATTTAGTTTAGATGTAATGATTTTTAGGTGATAAAGAGAAAATCCCCAAAATGTCAAAATTGGGTACTTTTGGTGTTAAAATCGATCATAACTCAAGAATGAAAGGTGATGGAGAAAACCTTGTCGTCAAATAACTTTATAACTTTGTCGTCAAGTTTGACGTACAATTTCATAGCCGACTACTAAATTTTCTCTTATTTTAAGTACATTACTGCTCTGTGTCGGTTCTTATGTGAATCACCCTGTATAATGATGACCGCTACCTATTTCATGGGCATTGTGTTACTAAAAGAGAGGACACTATTCCAAACATCAGTCTTGACCAGCTTTTAGGGGTTCTTTTCTCTCGTGGAATCATTAATCATAAAGTATTCAAATTTAATCTCGCAAAATTGACGAAACAGCCGATAACTTCTGTAATAAAGGCAGCTCGAGAAGTGATGAAACGAAGAACGTAATGTTGATTGTGCTAGGAAATTGTTCTTGTAGTCAAGCTGCGATCTTTCATTGGAGAAACAACGAAAAGAACGAGATTTTATGATGACATTCTTCAACAGTCGAGTTTTTCCTAAAAATTTTTTAACGAAAAATTCCTTTCTTTAATAAATTGAAATCATCCATAATGAGTACATTGTACCATCAATAATGCATTGTATTTATTACATAAGTACACAATATTACTCAAAAACACTCAAATCACAAAAAAACACAACTCCTCCGAAAATGTCAATTATCAAAAAAGCTATTGTTTAAAACATAAATACTTATGAAGCACTTAATATCGGTCAAGAGTTGTTTATTTCTATTAATTAAATTTAAATACTGTTATCATAATATTCTCTGCGACTTTGTGATTTGAAAAATTTTAAGAAATTAAGTTGAACAGTGTTGTAGAAAGCATGATTAGCTTTGGTAGCATGAAGGGAGAGTTTGTAAACTTTGTTGGTATATCGAGGGTGGTGTTATAATTAGTATGAATTAGTATACGGCCTTTGGGATTAGGGCTGGCTCAGTACTTATTAGTAAATTTAACATTTCAACCCTCCACGATACAAAGGGGTGCGAAATTTTAGTGAAAACTTAGGTATGCATGATAATATTAAAGTTAAATAAGCTTGGGAGGTTATTTAGGTTTGAAAGCTTCCTTTCGTTGATTAGTATACATAAAGTGAATTTCACATAAAATGCAACATTTCAATATCATTTGACGTTATAGTAAAACTTCGATATGTTATAGCTTAATAAAAATATACAACACTAGCCTAACTCAAAACTAAAATCATTCCATTTAGCCGTGCGCCTATTAAGACAGCTACACCTGAATGTTTCTAGTTCTTGGTCTAATGTTAGTTCTAATAACTAGGTAGAGCTAGTTAGTATTAGAAATCAATGTGTTGCAAATTTTTATTAAATTAAGACTAGAACTAACACCAGAACTAGAATCATTCGGGTTTAGTTGTCTTGAGAGATGTGCGGCTAAATCCGAATGTTTTTGGTTCTACTCGTAGGTCTAGTGTTAATTCTAGTTTTAATTGTTATTCAGCGTTAGATTGTGGTATATTTTTATTGAACAAAAACTAGAACTAATACTAGACCTAGAACCAGAAATATTTGGGTTTAACTAACCATACGTCTCTTAAGACGGCTAAACCAGAATGTCTCTGATTCTAGATCAAATGTTAGTTTTATTGACAGTGCTAGGAAGCGCTAGTTAGCATTAGATATCACTTTGTTGTATATTTTTATTGAACTAAAACTAGAACTAACACTAGACCTAGAACTAGAAACGTTCGGGTTTAGCCGTCTTGAGAAACGTGCTGTTAAATCCAAATGTTTCTAATTGTCGGTCTAGTGTTAGTTCTAGTTTTGCACTAGCACTATCACTACACAGGGGCGCGCCGTGCAGGGGGTGCAAGGGGTGCATCGCACCCGGGCGCGGTCATCCTAGGGGCGCATGTAACGCAATAAAATTGCGCTTTTATATGCAAAGGCGAACTACTGAAATATCAAACATTGGCACAAATATAACAGAGGAAGAAGAATCCGACGTGAAAATTTCAAACGAACCTGAAAATGTCTTACATTATATTTTTACTAATGATTTATTCAATATGCTTCCTAATATTACTATAGCACTTAGAATATACCTAACATTACCTGTTAGTGTTGCATCAGGAGAGAGATCATTTTCAAAACTTAAAATAATAAAAACCTATTTAAGAGCAAATATGAGTCCAGAGAGACTTAACAATTTGTCTTTAATAAGTAATAATAATAATAACAAACACTAGAAACTTTCGGGTTTTGCCGTGCGTCTTTTAATAAAAGGTTTGACGTTTCGGATGCCATGTTGTAACCTTCTTCAGAAACAGGGTTCGAAGTGAAAGCCTTAGTACTTATATTATTAACCTTTATGGGGAGGATATCAACAAACAAATCAAGGATTTGGATAACTCACGAATTAGACAACGCAAGCTGTTGAGCAGTTTGGCCTTTCTACGAAGATGCAGAGAGAAGAAAGTAACGCCAACCTTCTTGAAGATGAAGCACCACATCGACTCCGCTGCAGCACGTAGAATTTTGATTAGGACAGAACAAGCACTGCTACGAGAAAGAATCCACAAGACCTTCAATGATCTACAAAAAATAAGTGAGAAGTTACTACGACTCCACCTCTCACTTTCCAATTGTATATCCGGAGAAGACTGGGACAAAGTGGACAGACTAACAATGGAGAAGGCTAATCGCGAATTTCAGAAGACCCGTGACACACACATCAAGAAGTTTGAATCTCTGGAACGCCGGTCGCAAAAGAAGAAAGGTAATAGTTTACCAGTAGAAACAATCGTCATTAACAGATCGAATGTCCCACTAACGAAAGACGAAACCTCTGTGCTCGCCAAAGGATTGAACTACGCAATCGCCCCGAAGAAGGTCCCAAAGGAGGAAATCATCTGCGAAGTGGAAGCAGCTGTTCGAGGGATGCCTGCACTGAAAGCCGAAGAGATCCGACAAGAAGTTGCGAGAGTATTGAAGTCAGCAAAACCACCAAAATCCAACTTGACGGTTGGTGAAAAGAAGGCACTCCGATCTATAAAAGAAAAATCAGAAATCGTCGTGTTACCAGCAGACAAGGGGAATGCCACCGTTGTTATGGACAGGAAAGAATACGACGACAAAATGATGAACTTACTGGACCCAGCCACCTACAGGAAGATCAAGAAGGACCCCACAGACAAAATCGTTAGAAAAATGAAGGAACTGATAAAATCCACAGGAATTCCAGCAGAACAGCAGAAAGGTTTGTTTGTGCAGGCGACGGTACCACCAAGAATCTACGGACTACCGAAGATTCACAAACCAGACGTCCCCCTCCGCCCTATCGTCAGCGCCATCAACTCCCCAACATACCAGCTGGCCAAACATCTTGCAAAGATTCTGTCTCCCTTTACAGGTAACACGGAATCGTATGTCAGCGATTCTACACATTTTGTGGAATCGGTAAAACGTGTAAAGCTAGATGCTGGGGATATGTTGGTAAGTTTCGATGTGGAATCCCTTTTTACTAGGGTACCAGTTAAGGATGCTGTAGACGGTCTTCGCCGAAAACTCATTCCGGAGGATTTACCAGAATACGTGTCAGATCTGGTGGAGTATTGCTTATCGTGGACGTATTTCAGCTGGAAAGGAGAATTTTACGAGCAGTTCGAAGGGGCAGCCATGGGGTCTCCACTATCGCCAGTTATAGCTAACACTTCGAACCCTGTTTCTGAAGAAGGTTGCAACATGGCATCCGAAACGTCAAACCTTTTATTAAAAGACGCACGGCAAAACCCGAAAGTTTCTAGTGTTGGTTCTAGTTTTAGTTTAATTCACACCGGCCGTGAAAGCCTTCGTACTTACAAGAAAAAATTATTAAAAATTAATTTTTTATAAATATTTTGCAAATTGTAATAAATTAGTATAAAAAATATATTTTATAAATTACTTGTTGTTCCAATGTTTGTATCTTATTTCAATACGAATTTGGGGCGCCAAAAATGAGTTCGCACCCCGGCGATCGTTTACCACGGCGCGCCACTGTCACTACAACTAACACAAGACCCAGAACTAAAATCATTCGGGTTTAGCCGCACGTCTCTCAAGACGGCTAAACCCGAATGATTCTAGTTCTAGGTCTTGTGTTAGTTCTAGTGATAATGCTAGTGCAAAACTAGAACTAACACTAGACCTAGAACTAGAAACGTTCGGGTTTAGCCGTCTTGAGAGACGTGCGGCTAAACCCGAATGATTTTAGTTCTGGGTCTTGTGTTAGTTGTAGTGATAGTGCTAATGCAAAACGAGAATGTTTCTAGTTCACCTTTTTCCAAACAAAACTTTTCCTTTGCAAAACTATCCAATGCCTGTACCATGAAGTTATGTTGTATTTTATGTGGGACAATGCAACTGCATTCATATATTGCGAGTTCTATGAAATTCTCGGTATAATGCACGTACATTTGATATGATAAAAAACGTAAAATTTTTTTTAATAATTATTTTTACTGGTTGCGTTGGTGCGATTTTACGATTGCGTGGGTCGTACCATCTGAAAGTGGAGAAAACCCAACTCAATAGAACTTTAATTGCAAGCGATTTAATGTTGATTTATTTCGCACCTGGTATCTCATTGAAAATAAAAAATGAAATTTAAATTTTCGAAAATAAGAAAATAAATGTGCGACTCTGCGGTGAACCGGCGGCGCGCAATTAATTTCAGATTAATATCGATGATTTACTGTGAGATCAGGCGCAAAAATCTTGCGTTTATAAAGAATACGATTGCCCCCAACGACCGGTGTAGGTATATTGCTTCGTTTTATCGCGGTTAACACACCTCCCGAACGGACGTTATCCTTTTCATCAAATATTTACGCTAGCTACGCAAGTGGAATGTCAATAGGCGAGAATAATCAAGGTCAAAAATTTTAACCGTCACTTTTAATCTTATCAAATTCATAAATTTTCTCAAAAATTACTTTTTTACAAATGTATTAACCCTTTATTAACAAAGCGTTAAGTTTCGATCTGATAAAGTGCCGCCAGTCGGTTCGATAATGAATTGAGCCATTATGTTAAGCACTCGATTAATCCTGAGCAGCTGTGTGAGACGACGACGCCATCCATTGATGACAGCTTTGCTTAAAAGCACCGTTCCAAATCGATAATACATTTAGTTTCGTTGCTGCGAATAACACAAGGACAATTATTGACACGGTTTAATTATATTTAGCTAATTAATCCCTTTAATCTCCGCGTAAGTGAATACCAAACACAATTTAATTTAAAAAAAAAAAATTAACTCGTAAATGTTTATTTAGGAAATAAATCGCCTCGGGGCTATAAACGCGTAGTGATTTATCCTTCCTGCGGGAACTTTAAAAACGCGAAACAAGGGCCGGACACCTCACCGTAACCTTGCCGGGATAACGTATGGGTCTGGGGTCCGTTGATAATAATAACCGGTGCCTCGGACTCTTGGCGAGCTTTACTTCTTCTTCGTCCTTGACACGACGCGGATTTTTGTCGCGACTTAAAACTGGCCGCAATTTATCCGTGCAATTATCCTGCCGAAAGGTATTCGCGTGTACAAGTAAGCTACGACTATAAATAAATTTTGACAAAGCGTAATTAATTGCATCCAGAACGGATATCTTTTCCTAAAGCATTGTTAAAGTCAATTTATACAAACTTAACCCTTAAAATTGTAGTTATGACATTTAGTTTTGACAGTTAACATTGTAAACGTCAAAAGTGACAGTTTTAAAAACTTGGATTATCATATAAAATGTTTTCCAAATTTGTTACCGAAATGGAACTTGTATTTTATTGCTGCCCAATATACTTGAATCTTTCTGCAAACTAATTTTCGAACTGAATCCTAAATCTATATGCATTTAGACACCTTTAGACCATATTTATACCTTTCAAACTGATGTCTTAATTTTTAGTCAAATACAGTGAAGACCGGTTATAACGAGCAGTCAAGGGACCGAAAAAATTGCTCGCTATAGGCGGTACCTCGTTATAACCAAGGTTGTCGTAATATGTAACATAAATTTTAATACTTGTGCAAAAAGTAGTAACCAGCAATTTTAAGAACGACTTAAAAAAATCTTTTTGTTTTTGCACTTTTACAATGAAATTTTTGTTTATTCACTATCAGAAATTAATCACTATGAGAAATTTTGTTTGCTTTAAAAGTATACGATTGAAAAGGTAAAAACAAAAAAATACATTATCATGTTTTTGCAATTTTTCATAACATTATTGTTTAAGACAGATACAACTACCTAATAGACTAAAACTAATTAACTAAACATCTATACTATTATACATCTAAAATTAATTTTTATTGAAATATTCTCGGATGTTTTTCTGTTTTATGCTTTTATGTAATAATTCCTGGCAAATATTTTTGTTTATTGTATCGCATGCGAACATACATTCAGTATTGTCCGCATAGTTGGTTGCAATGTAACGTGTCACCCTAGAAAATGCTTCTAAAAATTCATTTTTTGATATGTTTCGTTCTACCTCTTCATCTGATTCACCGTCAGATTCATTATCTTTATTCAACACGTTAGACATTATTTCAGTGTCAGATAGAATGGAACCAGTAGTAACATCGTCATCGATAGTGGCAAATAAATTTAAATCGATACCGTCTATTTCCAAACCGTTTTTCTCTGCCCAACTAGAAAGATTTTCTTCCACAGAGATACGCGTAATTAATTGAGCTAAGGGAATTTCATATTCCTCGCTAAAACTCTCTGCAAGATTGCCGAATGCATGACGAAAGCAATTCATTATTGTTTCTTTTTTAACATTTATCCATGCGCTGTTTAGCATTATTATGGCATCTAAAATATCGATTTTTAATTTTTCGTTCAGATCCATAGCTTCTACTAACTTGAACAATAACTTTTGTCGGTAAAACGTTTTCATTGATTTAATTATGCCTCGGTCCATCGGTTGTAAGACGGAAGTTGAATTTGGCGGAAAGTACGCAAGTTCAATACATTCTAAGTTGTTAATATGAGGATTTTTGTAACGACATATAGATACAAGTTCACGTAAATCTAGCGATAAACTGAACTGCCCATGGTGCCTAAATGGCGCGTCACGACGTCGCCAGATTTTTACGTCATTCGCTCGTTATAGACGGTACAAAACACGCAAAACTACAACCGAGCTCTCGTTATAACCGAACTCTCGTTATAACCGAGCACGCGTTATAACCGAGATTTTTTACATTGTAAGGATAGGATTTTTTCACGGGACTTGGAAGCTTGCTCGTTATAAAGCATACTCGTTATAACCGGTCTTTACTGTAGTACTTGAGATTTGGCCAACAGATTTAGCCGACTAATATTAAACTGTACTAAAATCGCTTCTATTTAGTTTTTTAATACCACAAGTTTTGGGATGGTAGATTGTACTTTGGTGCATAGATTCAGGGCAGTTTCAAATATTAAAAAAAAAAGCAATAAGGAAAGAAGGTTCTTGATTTTGAACCATTTTTGTCTTAAAAACCTCTCGATTTTGCAAGGAAATCTCTTCACCTTTTATCTTTTATATTAACGTAAAAAAATACCTATTCATCTTTTATCAAAGCCAGTTTTATTTTTGTTGTGTCATCGACCTTTGGACACACATTTTCCCCCTTTTCTTTCAAGAAGAGAACTTTTTTCTTCGTCTTACATCGCCAAGAAACGCGAGATAGAAAAGTCGAGTTTTCATTTTTATTGAAAAGAAGCGAAATGAGGAGTTTTATAAAGGAACAATTGTTTTGCATGTTTTAAAAAAGAAACATATACATACAATTCTTGCATGGTATAGTAAAGAGAACGCGGGAGGGTTAACGCTTGTGTGACCTTTGAATTTATTATCGACATTAAGCCGTCGATGGTTCGCGGCACTAAAGAAGCAGTTTTCGCTGTAAATCACTTTTTACAGCGCCTTGCGATTGTATTGTCTTATCTTCCACGGTCCGTAGCAGGCGGTAGAATTTACAACCCTCGCCGCGAAATTGCAGGATGTTAAAGTTAATTGATTTTACGCTGAAACCCGCGTCGGCCTTCAGAGATCTGAAATGCTATGCGTTTGAACTTGACACCGTAAAACGCACCGACTCGACGATTATTTTATTTCAAGAAAAAAATAATGATTTTGCATTTTTTTGTAGGAGTTGAAGGAGAGCTTCAACTACGGATTGTTCAGCCCACCGGAAAATGGAAGAGCCGGGAAATTCTTGGATGAAGAACGCCGTCTCGGTGACTATCCCTTCAACGGTCCCGTGGGTTACCTGGAGGTACGTTTATTCCCGTTCAATTTGCAATTTCCATTAAAATTGAGGAAATTTGCAAATGTATTTAACCCTTTGTGTCCCAAGAAGTCAAAAATTTTGAAACTTTGTGACAGAATTAACACACTATCAAAATACACTCAGTAAAGGCCTTTGGAATCAATTTTAGCAAAATATGCAATCCCCCCATTCCAGGGGGATAATGGTTCTTGAGTTGCTTTGGCAATTTCACAACTTCCTCTTTCTTTTGAATTTGCGCCACGACATTTTCGTGGACGCAGTAAATTTGAATAATTATTTATCAGACCTGTAGCTACAAAACGACGAAAATCTGATACAATATTGAGCAAAAACTAACATTTTCGTATAATGTAAAAGTGTCAAAAAAGATGTTAATTTAAAAATTCCTGGAAGCCGTATTTATTGAAATTAAGGAATGAGACTTATTTTAAATTGAAGCTTAAAGCTTTCTCTTTAAAATGATGTATAATAATTGTTGGGTTGGATTTGAAAAATATTGAGAAAAAAAATGTTGAAACAAAACTTACATTTTCGTATAACCTAAAAGTGTCAAAAAAGATGCTAATTTAAAAATTCCTGGAAGCCGTATTTATTGAAATTAAGGAATGAGACTTATTCTAAATTAAAGCTCAAAGCTTTCTCTTTAAAATGATGTATAATAATTGTTGGGTTGGATTGGAAAAATATTGAGAAAAAAAATGTTGAAACAAAACTTACATTTTCGTATAACCTAAAAGTGTCAAAAAAGATGCTAATTTAAAAATTCCTGGAAGCCGTATTTATTGAAATTAAGGAATGAGACTTATTCTAAATTAAAGCTCAAAGCTTTCTCTTTAAAATGATGTATAATAATTGTTGGGTTGGATTGGAAAAATATTGAGAAAAAAAATGTTGAAACAAAACTTACATTTTCGTATAACCTAAAAGTGTCAAAAAAGATGCTAATTTAAAAATTCCTGGAAGCCGTATTTATTGAAATTAAGGAATGAGACTTATTCTAAATTAAAGCTCAAAGCTTTCTCTTTAAAATGATGTATAATAATTGTTGGGTTGGATTGGAAAAATATTGAGAAAAAAAATGTTGAAACAAAACTTACATTTTCGTATAACCTAAAAGTGTCAAAAAAGATGCTAATTTAAAAATTCCTGGAAGCCGTATTTATTGAAATTAAGGAATGAGACTTATTCTAAATTAAAGCTCAAAGCTTTCTCTTTAAAATGATGTATAATAATTGTTGGGTTGGATTGGAAAAATATTGAGAAAAAAAATGTTGAAACAAAACTTACATTTTCGTATAACCTAAAAGTGTCAAAAAAGATGCTAATTTAAAAATTCCTGGAAGCCGTATTTATTGAAATTAAGGAATGAGACTTGTTCTAAATTAAAGCTCAATGCTTTCTTTTTAAAATGATGTGTAATAATCACACTTAAGAACCATTTATCAAAGAGATACCTTTTTGAACAACAGAATTCAACAACACCACTTTTCACTATACTTCTAATCTCACATCTGGACGAATAAGTTTAAATATACCTAAAAACCCTAGAGTGCGGATTGTGAAAGTACCGACAGCTCTAAATACGCCGAATAGATTATTACAGTTCAAAATGAGTGTTTAAAACTACCGGTACTTTAAAGTACCGTCGGGACACAAAGGGTTAAAGAAACGTAATTGAACGTTGATGTGGAGACATTTCTAAAAATAAAAACTTAAATTAACAACTTTCGCTAATAAAAACTTGAATATATTAACTCGCAGAAAGTAAAATAAAACAATAATTTTAACTCTAATTCCTCTTACTTTCGATTCATTTCGAGTGTTCGTTTTTCCCGCATAAACAAAAAGACTTAATTAATAGTTAAACGGAAAGAGGTCGCAATTAGACTCGAATGAAAGAAAACAAAAGCATTCCTTAGTATCTTTCGGTTCGGTTCTTTCGCAACGATGCGAAATCTCCCAGAAATTGTTCTAAATACAACAAAAAAACGTCCTTCCTCTTTCAGTTAAAGTACAAGAGGAGGGTGTACAAAATGCTCAGTTTAGATGAAAAGCAATTGAAGAGTCTTCACACGCGTGCGAATCTAAGACGATTTTTGGATTACGTCATTAATGGGCAAGTTGAGAAGATTACGAAGATGTGTTCTAAAGGTCTCGACCCAAATTTTCACTGCCAAGATTCAGGTGGTACGTAAAACATCTTTTTTTTTTATTTTTTTTAACCTTTTTAATGTAATTATTCTTTTTAGAAACCCCTTTAACAATCGCGACGGGAATTAAAAAGCCGGCGAAAATGTTAATGGCGTTGGTAAACGGGGGCGCCCTTTTGGATTATCGTACCAGAGATGGTTCCACGGCAATTCATCGATCCGTGGAACATAAAAGCCTCGAAGCGATGAAAACGTTACTGGAATTGGGCGCCTCCCCCAATTACAAAGACGGAAAAGGATTAACTCCTTTATACCTAACAATAACACAAAATGTTGAACCGAAATTCACCGAAACACTACTCCACGACCACGCTTCCATCGGCGCTCAAGATTTGCAAGGTTGGCAGGAAGTACACCAGGTAAACTCCAATTTTACAGTTGCGAACGAAGGAAATTGCTTTTTAACTAGTCCGATACGAATTTCAGATTGATTCGATAATTAATCAAATCACTTTTTGTTTCTCTTTAAATAGGCGTGCAGGACCGGTTTGATTCAACATTTGGAGCATTTATTGTTTTACGGGGCCGATATGAACGCGAGAAATGCGTCGGGAAACACGCCTCTACACGTTTGTGCCGTTAACAGTCAAGAATCCTGCACGAGACAGCTTCTGTTTAGAGGAGCGGATCGACAGGCCCTTAATTATGCCAACCAAACGCCCTATCAAGTGGCCGTTATAGCCGGAAACATGGAATTGGCGGATATTATTCAAAATTATAAACAGGATGATGTCGGTATGTCAATTTTATTTATTTCTAAATTTTGCTGTTTTACGAGGGGTTATTCTCTATAAAAATTTAGTTTCAAATATTAAATGATTTCATGGAAATTTATAGGTACTCATAAGTCTTTATATATTAATAGCTAGCTTAACCGAGGATGTTTGTGGCCGAAATTCCGCAATATGTTAACCAAGTATTTGTAAACCTTAATTATATACAGGGTGTCTCACGTAACTGGTTCGTTAGAACTTTTTCAAGTTCCACTATTCATAGAGATTTGAAATTTTGGTAGCATGGGTTGTTCATTCGGAACTTTCAATCTAAAATATTTTCAAGATGACCGCCACTTCCGGTCTACCGGAAGTAGACCATAACCAAGGTTTATATATAAGAGGTTGTCTAGGTTCGTACGCAATCATACTGCGCATTACGTCACATGTGGAAAATAATACCGCCAAGCAATTCAAATTAAACAAAGGCATGGAGCACTACATGGCCATGAGGTTGCGTGCGCAATCCGTGATCGCTTACGTCACGAAACACTCCTGCTCTTGCCCCTCGCCCACAAACTAAAATCAAAGTATTGCAGCATAGGAACTTAGACAACGTTTAATATATAAACCTTGGACCATAACTTCGTTATTTTAAATGGAATGCTATAGTTTTTATTGCACAATTTAATTGTACGTAAAAAAATAGGTTGACTTTGATAAAAGTTATTGGTACCTAGCGTTTTTCGTTTTCGAGTTATTTTGGTTTTAAGCTTTTTTTGGTAAATTTCAACATGCTTTTTAAAACTTTATATCTCAGCTAACGTTCATTCAAAAAAGATCTACGTTGGCACGATTACTCTTCAGATGTTGTCAAATAGATTGTCATTTGTTGTATCGGAGTATCTTATACAGGGTGGTCAAAAATTGAATTACTGTTTCTCCATATTCAATGGCGAGAAAGTCGAAAATTTTAAATGGAATGCCCCATATTTTTTTTAGCCTATCAGGAAGAGAATTTAATTCTCTACAAATTATCTATAAACATTCCCATACCTATTTATTGTAGTTTGTCTCATATTGCGAAATTTATTAAAACATGCACGAAATCCAGTTTTTTTTATTAAAAAGATATGGAATTTTGACAATTTTTGGTCCATGTTTGTATTATTGTTGTCATTTGAGTCATCATCCTAACAAACCTAACGCCCATCACAAGGAAAATTTGAAAAAATTGATAAAGAATTTCTTAGTTCTGGATATATCGAGACCAAAAGACATCACATATTTCCGGTCACTAGTGATGAAGACAACGAAATTAGTATATTAAAAAACAAGTTTCGTAAGACACGTTTGAAATGCACGAATTCAAGTTGAAAAACGAGTTTTCTCAAAAATAAAATAAATTTTGACAATGTAGGGAAATAGGAAAATAGAAATTTGAATTGACAATTAGAAACTGTCAAAACACAAAATGTATTCCCTGACAAAAATGTTTCATGTATACCTTCGAAAATAAGAGAAAAATTAATGACCCAATGTGACCAACTTGAATTGGTTCCATAAAATGTTACTAAAATCTCATTACTGCATCGGATGCTGTAAGGAGTCTCATTACAGCACCCGTTTGAGTACTGTTATAGCTTGCATTACCGTAGCGAATTACAAAAAAGTATTTTATTGCATTTCCAAATTCAATTTAATAACAAATTTATATTATAAATTTATGTTTTTATTCAAATCTAATTTTTGTCATTAACTTTTTGTTCTAATAGTTTCATTTATTTGATCTTCTGTTTGTTATTTTTGGTAAGTAAAAGCTAGTAAACTAAAAGATTATCAATCGTAGTTAATAGTACAAATAATAATAGAAATAAATTAAACAAACAAATACAAACGGTTTCCTGCATTTTCTGCATGTTTTGATAAATTTACGAATATGAGAGAAACTACAATAAATAAATATAGGGATGTTTATAGATAAATTGTAGAGCATTAAATTCCCTTTCGTGTAGGCTAATAAAATATGGGGCGTTCCATTTAAAATTTTCGACTTTCTCCCCATTGAATATGGAGAAACGGTAATTCAATTTTTGACCACCCTGTATAAGATACTCTGATACAATCAGTGATGGACGGTGGGTAAATACCCGGCGGGTAGGTATTTATAGAATGGGTATTTATCCGGGTATTTACCCAGGCCCACGGTAAATACCAAAGCAGTACATATAAAAGTGAAACAAGTAAAAATATCAAAATAAAATAAAGAGTTGCACTTTTTTTTAATGGATAATTGTTATATTTATGTTCTACCGGTTTCGACTCAACATAGAGTCATCTTCAGGAACGCGTCATGATTTGAAAAAAGGCCTGGTATCGATATTAAACATTTGTTCGTGGTTAAAAACTTAAGAAAATTAAAAATAAAAGTGTAATTATGGGCGGATGCGATGAATCGTTTGATAAAATGGTTGTCTGGAGCGTGATCAATCACGTTCCTGAAGATGACTCTATGTTGAGTCGAAACCGGTAGAACGTAAATATAACAATTATCCATTAAAAAAAAGTGCAACTCTTTATTTTATTTTGATACGAATGATGGAAACAAATAATAATTACACCAATAAGTAAAAATATAACAGATTCGGAAAAAATGTAGAGGAAGATGATCAAATGGGCGTTGAAGACCAGGAATTGTCAACAATCGAAGACATATTATAATCAGACAACCACTGCTCATTCTTCATTCTTGCGACGATGATCCGCCCCGTTCCACTTGAGCTTTGCCACAATGTTGACCACATCATTTACACCAGTTCTTCTTCGTAGGTCTTCATTTCGTATGTGGTCCCACAGGGTTACACCCAGCAGCTTTCTGTGCGTTACTTTGAGCCTCCTGGTAATGGCCAGCGTTAATGCTAAAGTTTCAAAACCGTATGTCGTAACCCAACGGGGATGCAGCCATTGATTGAAAGCCTTTCTTTTCAAATATACAGGAATATCGCTCATGAAGATGTCTCTAAGTTTCCCGTATTATCTCTCGATACACGAACCTCATGTCCAAGATATACATAACTGTCAACCCTCTCAATCTCATTATCCCCAATGTTGATGTTAGAGCTGGGAACAAGATTTGTCATAAATTTTGATTTATCCACGTTGATGTTTAGCCCGACTTTTGCACACCTCCTTAAGTCGTTCAGCATCAGTTTCATCTCTCCAAGGCTATTTCGCTTGCCTTCTTGGGTCCAATGCAGTTGTTTAAATGCACTCTCCAGAACTATGATGAACAATTTGGGGAACATTTTATCGCCTTGTCTTATCCCACGCTCAATTAATAACACTTTATCACATTTCCAACAGTAATTGAGATATCTGGTGTGACAGCTAAAATCAAACACTGTATTTGTGGGTTGATATCTCCGCAGCCATTCTANGCCAATTTAGAGCTTTTTTGAATGAACGTTGGCTGGGATATAAGGTTTTAAAGAGCATGGTGAAATTTGCCAAAAAAAGCTTAAAATCAAAATAACTCGAAAACGAAAAACGCTAGGTACCATTAACTTTTATGAAAGTCAACATATTTTTTTACGTACAATTAAAAGGTGCAATAAAAACTATAGCATTCCATTTAAGATAACGAAGTTATGGTCTACTTCCAGTAGACCGGAAGTGGCAGCCATCTTGAAAATATTTTAGATCGAAAGTTCCGACTGAACAACCCATACTACCAAAATTTCAAAACTGTACGAATACTGGAACCTAAAAAAGTTCTGACGAATCAGTTACGTGAGACACCCTGTATATGTATATTGCCACCTTAATGAAGTGTAATCATATATTTTCCGTCCTAAATTTAGCCATAGACGACTGCAACCGAGCGCTGTATTATGTTGATCAAATTTGAATTAATTGCAGAGCATCAACTACAAGAAACTTTGGCTTAATTCAACAAAGTCATGGTTTCTTAACCTCAACTTCAACCTCAGGTGCAAGCGACCTCGGCTAAATGATATCATAGATTCTTCACCATATGTTCAACTGATGTCGTTTGCGATAGTAGTGTCACAATGTGTTGATTAGATTTGAGTTATTTGTAGAGTCTTAATACAACGAAGTCATTGTTTCTCTTTAGCTTAACTTTGGTCGCGGGCACAAATGACCTCGGCTTAATGACGCGATCTTCACCATAAGTTCAATTGATGTTAGAATTCCATGAAATTATTACACTTAAATTTTTTAAGAGATTTGCCCCTCTTTAAATCAAAATGCGTTAAATGTTAGTATTAATTATTAAATGTTTCCATGCTTCTAAACCTTAGATATTAATCCCGCATGTTTTATTTTTGTAATCAATCAATATGGTAATGATTTCAAGTCTTTTTATACAATATCTTCATTATCGATCTTAAAATCTAATCTTTCTTCATTAGCTTTATGGAATTTCTGCTTTATTTATTTCTTATCGACCTTACTTAAATAAAACAATAACCATTCTAATTTTAGTGATGAAACAAACTTTATTTTTAACTTATCGTATTCAAATTGATTTAAAAACGTTTTTTTTTATCCATTCGCATTGCTTACATTCCAAAAATTTGATTTGTGAATGTTGAATGTTTTCGGAATGCAATTAGTAAATTAGATTAGGTATGATTTTACCTCAGATTGCCTATTGAGGTTTAAAACACACCAACTTGACCAAGTAAGTTGACCATATCATCTCCAATATTCCAGTAAAATCACGCTTAAATCATTTTAAATCCTGCAACGTAAATTTTTTGGGTTGTGTTGGTTAAAAAAAGTCAAATCGTATTTCTGCACCGGTATCACTGGACTTTTCAGTACCATTTCGTGATCCACCGAGTTATAACCCAAAACGTCGTTCTGCTGTTGGCTGGCTTACGAGAGCCCCATCGTTGAGCTGTCTTGCCTTGCCCCCATCTCCTTGCCCAAGCGACAGATCCTCAGCCCCATTCAGCTCAGCAAGTTCGAGTATGAGCGATGGAAGTGCTCCTTTGGGTCTAGAAACCGACACTGCAAGTATCGTCACAGGTAAATTAATTTTTTTTCATTTTTTTTTCAGGTTATAAACGCATGTTCATGTGCATTTAAACTTTTTTCTCTTCTTGTTAGAGAATTTTTTTTGAAAATCGCTTTTACGCGATTAATTTTAACTTATTATATATTTTTAAATTATCAATCATTGATATTCTCAGTGCTTGCACTGGGTGTTACAGAAAAATCTTTGGGGGATACCAGTGATATTGTCAGCGATAGTAGTGGGGTTGGAACGGCGAATTCTGACACAACAATCGGGAGTCTCTCTGTACCCGGAAGTACAGTTGTTTGTATAGAATCTTATAACCCGAAGGAGGAAGGACATTTACCTATGAGGGAAGGAGATATTATTGAAGGTAATTTAAAAAAGTCATCAACTTATTTTTTATTTGTATTATGACCGATCGCATGCTTACACGATCATTTATAATAACCTTGAAAAACGGATTGAAATCACGTGTAGCACATTAAACAGCATTCACGTTTATTTTCCAACAGTACAAATATGAAGTTAAAACGAAACATTTGTATTTTATGTATGTATAACCTAAAAAATGCCGTGCTTCTCTTAACCTTTTGAGTGCACTGTGGGGTCAATATGACCCCACGACTTATTATTTTGTGTGTATTTTCTAAACTATTAGAGTGCGGGAAGTTAGCCCCGCATTTTTTGATTTTTAAATTTTTTATTCTAGATTGTTCTAGAGTTGTTCTACATTGTTCCAAAGCGGCAAATCGAAAAAATAAAAATTCCGCGAGAAAACCGAAAAAACAGGTTTTTTGACTAGCCCCCCATTTTTGGAAAAATCAAATTTTCTTTGTTGTTCTGGGTTGTTCTAGTTGTTCTAGTAATTGTTCTAGAAAATCAAAATTATGGGTTACAGCATTACGAAGTTATAACTAAAAATAGGTTTGGCCGCCAAAATGTCTAGTTGATTGCT